CCATGTCCAAACTTTGTGCTGCATCACAAATAAAATTAATCTCAGGTAATAATTTTTTTTTATTTTTGACCTCCAGTGTAAACTGATGTTTTTTAGTGTAGATTAGACTCAAATAGCAATGTGTAATCTTCTTTGGTCTGCTGTGTTTCACTTCATTTACACAAAAGCCCCATTCCAAAGTTCTCTCCAAAGCTCTCAGGTATGCCATCATGACAGGAAACAGTGTTTTAAATTTCCCTGCGGCCCTTAACACCCGTTATCCTTACCAAGCAGATATGAGCTCGCAGCAGGACTTTCAGAGCCGAGGTAAGGAGGCTCAGGTGAACGACCTCAGGCAAACTTCTCCCTGATAAAATCAGAAGACAGGAGGGAGAGTGGAGAATGAGAGAAGGGGCAGGACGAGCATGAAAAACAAATGAAGAAAAAGAAATGGAAGATCGGCTCAGACAGAAGTGTGACAAGAGGATAAATTAAAGCAAAGCTGAAGGTAAAGGACACACATGTCGAGTGGGAGAAGGAAAGAGAGACAGGTGTGGAATCCAATCTGTCATTGACACTAGCAGTTAACATTATGCAGAGCCACTTATCTAAAGCAACAATGATTACTGGTGAACATTTCAAATTTTTATTTCATGAGAATGAATTACTACCAAAAAACAAGTAGAACTGAAAACAGCACAACAGTCTTTGGTGTAATGGCATTCTCCTATTTAACTCCTCATGAATGTTCGGAACATTTTACGGTTGTACAATATCACATTTGTGACTTTCACCCAATGAAAACACAAGTATGTTACAATTTACCACAGAAAATAGACAGTTGAAGAGTTGGGTGCCTTTAAAAATGCAGTATTTTTGATATGCATGACAATTTAATCTGATTAAATATAAACTTGGAAATGGAAAAATGTGGATGACAGATATTGATTTTGTGAGCAAAAAAATCATTGCATTATTTGCATGATTTCTTCTGCTGTAGCATTTTGTTATGCGGGTCAGCACAGCTGTCACACATACTAATGTGAGGCTATTTTGGAATGTTTAAAAGTAAATTCATAGTGTTCTACAAAAAAACAAACAAACAAACAAACAAAAACCAAAAGTGTCCCAAACATGCATTCATTTTAACTTGTTCATGTAAAACCCTGATTTCTTTATTGCAAAGACACTGCTGCCATTTTCTCTGCCTATTAAAGTTGAACTGAACTGATATGAAAAGCTGTCCTTTGGTCTTTAGATGATGACAAAGCTAATTTAGCATATTCAAGAGTTGAAAGTTATTTTCAAGTTTCAAATATATCTTTTAGTTCATTAAAAAAAAAAGTTTTACAATGCATTTTTATATTTTCATCAATTTTCCTGATTAAAACAGTTTAAGTTTTGAATTTGATCTCTTCTTTAAACATGTAGAACGCCCTTTTTCCTCTGCTAAAGACCTCTGATGGATAAGCATCTATCTCCTCTCCAGGGCCCTTTTCATGTCCAGGTCCTTCTTTCAAAGCTTGATATGCAGCATCACCCCCTGAAACACATACAGGTAGTGGCTGTGGTGCAGGTTTCCCAGGGTCAGGCCCTGTTTTTGTGCCTGTTTCTGTTCACTCTCAGTCAGGATCCGCTTATAGAACCACTTTATATCACACCAGCTTCAGCTATTGTGCTCTAACTTTCAGATGAAGCATTTTTGAACGAACGTTTTCTGCTTTTAACCTCTTTGACAATCTAAACCTACCAGTACTTGCTTGTAACCAAATATATGTGAATGGCATCAATCCAGTCATGCAATTCAAAAGAAGAAAATAAGTTTTTAAGAAAAGTACAAATATGTATGATAGTGACAAATTCACACCCACTAATTCCTTCTTTCGTCTGACAGAAGCTAATGAGAGCCAATAGGTGTCATAGACTTCAGAGATAATGAGAAGTGCAACAACATGCTGAGGTAAAATAGATCAGAGGCAGGGATCATGTCGTCTAATATCAGTCAGGCTGATGCACAATAGCCCCTGGAAACAATTAAAGAATGTTGTATGTTTTGTGCAAGTATAGATAAATGCACATGCTCAACCTGAAACCCTTACTGTGAGCTGAAAGGGATCTCATCGCTCTTGAGCTGTGTTTATTCAAGGAAATGTCCTGACGGAAGAGCGGGCCACTGGAGCAGGTATCAATGCTCAAATGGACAGAATAAAAGGGATATGATTCATACTGTGTCATATGCCACTTGAGTGTGGATCCAGATAAACAATGGCGCTAAACTATACAGAATGACCTAAGGATTGGTTTGAATTAAGGTCATTTGAATATTTTAGGTTAAGTAAAAATCTATTGGTATTGGAAATATTCAAATGAATAATGTTGAGCTGAGAATGGTGATCATGTACTTTTTCATATAGAACTCTAGTTCCCCCTTCTGGCAGACAGATTTATTCATTAAGCTAAAGCTTATATCAGCATAACTTATATCAACAGAATGCAGACACAGATGGTTCTGTATTTATTAAGGAGACTACTTCACCACTAGATGTGTGATTCCTAAACTAAAACTGCAAAAACAAAGTCTGAAGATCAGAAATGCTACTTTTCTAGCTCTGGCCACAACAGTGTCTTCTCTTTTCTTTTCTATTCGATTCAAGTTTCATAATGTATTACACACCAGATTTCTTACCAAAATTGATATTTAAATCACAAAAACAATAATGACTTGTGAAGGTTAATATGTCCAGCACAGGAAAATATGCTGTTTGGGGGCATTAGGGCGACTTGGCTGCAGGATGCTGGGGGGTAAAGTCAGAGCGGTCCAGTGTGAACGGCCTGCAGACCACACGTTTGATAGCACAGGCTTGTGTTCAATGCAGAGCAGGTGCAAAGGCTCTCTCCCTGCAGCAGTCTGGCTCTGCACGCCTCTTTTTCTAATGTTCTTTGTCTTCCAGGTAATTCACACTTCCATGTCTTCCTGTCCATCTTTCCATTTCCATCCACGTACCTCCTGGCACCGTCTGTATCATACTTCATTTGCTCCTGATAACACATCAGCTTCTGTGCCCATCCACAAACCCTGTCACCATGGTGCCCACAGATGGTAACTTCCTGTGGTCCTGCCCGGTGATTGGTGGAGAGACTTCCAAGCAGAGAGCAGCTGGCGAGGGATGATGTATCACCAAGCGTTTGCACTTTCATTTTCAGGGTTGTCTTGTTAATGCTCCCAATCCAGCATCTGGCAGGAAATAGACACAAAGGCAGGGAGAGGGAGAGAACAACCTGTTCTTTGGCAGACCTTAACAAAAGCCTGACACATGTCTGATGTACACAAAGAGCTGCTGCGCAGTAGACAGGGCCTCTGTGACAATGAGGGAAAGACGTTTGACGCAAGTTAAAGACTGGATGAAAGGATATGAATATCTTCTACAAAAAGGTTATTGGTATGAAAACAGGAAAACCCCAAAAAAACTCCTTTTAAGTACGGTGTGCAACTGTAATTAAAATTAGAGCTATAAAGAGATGAAAAAGAAAGACAGACTCGTGACTGGTGAAAGAAAATGGGGCTCATTTTTTACGTTTTCGCGATGCATTGTTTTGAATGATCTAATTACAATAAAAAAAGAACATCTGACATTTTTTGTTACCATTTTGGAATCATCACATATCTTTTGACTGATCATCTGTTTTGAACTGATTTTAAAGATTTACAATGCAGCCTCCTGTACAACAGATTTCTTAGTTGATGTTAGTTGATAAGACACAACACTAGAGGGAGCCATTTCACATCATCATGAGCCATAACAGCTCCAGATGTGTTATGATTTAGAAAAATAAAGAAGAGAGCAGAACCACAAAAAAACAATAACCTTTAATACCTTGTGTCACAGTGTTAGTGGAAATGTAAATATACTGAGATGTCGAATCTGAAGTTGTACAGAACTGATTCAAATATGAAATATTACAATGCTGATTCATTACTCGGGTCAGTCCACGTCCAATTACTGACTTAAAACATTTTTACCATCTCTAATACCACAAGTACGATGTATTAACAACAGTTTATTTGATAATCCAGTTAAAGAGGAAAGCCAATTTGTTAGCTTTTAGTCATTTTTCCTCTCAGGGTTAAAGAATTCCACTCTTTAAACATTAATAGAAATACGCCAAAGATAATGGAACTGTTGTTTTTTCTATAAAATGAAAGAAAAAAGGTCAACAACAATAAAAATTAACTAACACATTAAGCCATCCTCCAAAATAGAGGGAAGCTAACCAACAACACATGTCACATGGCTGAACATCGAAATGTATCTGCTAAACAAAGAAGTGAAAATAACAGACGGCTCCATGGTGAGTGGCTCAATGCTACAACTCCAAAGATGTTCAGAGGCTACAATATTGTTATATTCAACATGTAGAGGTCAGAGAAAAATCATGCAGCTTCATCTCTTGACACAGTAAGTTCTAAAATACAAATTGCTGCTCATAGCCAAACTTGATCTGAGGACAGTGGCAACCTCTGAAACTTTGCCTGGGTTTCCCATTTAAAAATGAGTTAGATAACCCTGCTCCACAGCGCCGGTGCAGATGATTCGCGGTGTGGAGCGTTACACTTAAGAGGCCTTTATGTCAAGCTCTGATAAACAAGTAATTATGCAATGTGACACCGCAGTGATTGTGGCATTTTCTGCTTGGCCATTAAGTTAGTTGCATAATACAACATCTATCATTTCAGCCATGTCAGTAAAAGCACGTGTGTATAAAATGGAAGTTAAACTCTGATGAATATTTTTGCAGTGATAAAATTATTTTCCATCCATGTGACATCAAACCCTAGATGCGTTTGTTGTTAAAAAAAAAACTAAAAATAATAGGTAATGTATTTTCAGTTTTGTAGTGCACCAACATTGATTTTCATTACTAGGCTCTTCCAAAAGAAAAAATCACCAGAATTCATACAACTCATATCATGACAATGAGAAAAACAAAGAAAACCAAAAACAGTGTGGTGCTTACAGAAAGTAGCAACATTTTCCACTGTAGAAAACTGAATGCACATACTTTTGACAGCTGAGAGTCTCTGTCCTTTTCAGGAGATCTGCTTGGCACGATTGTCATAAAAAACAATGAAAGCTTTGAGGGGGAAAGAAACTTCTAGGGATAGAAATTAACATCAATGCTAAAAAAATTAATTGAATATGTGTATATACTGTATATATACACACACATATGTATGTGTATATATATATATATATATATATATATATACACATACTGTATATATACATATGTATAGCTACACTTAAAAGTACTCAAGATTTAAGGCTACCACTAATGCTGACTATGCTGAATTAATGTACAAAGACTGGTGGGAGTTGCAGATGATTAGCTACTGTTTAACTTAGATTAGCTACCCATTAAGCGCTGACCACCACTATTAGCAATTGTTGCCATGCTTTTCATGGAATTCAGCACAAACACCAGTGCATTGCACCAGGAAAGGCAGGAGGAAGTAGCTATTTTTCTTCAAATACTGGAACAGCGAAGCTGCGACCAGTTTAATCACAAATGATGTCACGGTGCCAAAACAAGCCTTTCACAGCGGAACTCACAGAAATGATTACTTTGCTGTTTATCTTTTTCTGACTCAAGGGACTTTGTAAAATTGTTTTAAACACAAACAACATTTCCGAGGGAAAAAAAAAAGCTGACGATCCAAAATATTCTTGTTACCGTTCAAAGGACAGAGGAAATTACAAGAAACCACAATAAACTGTATATGATGGAGTTTAAATTAAATGAGCATTTTCAAAGTTACTGGAATGAATTAAAGGAAAAACAATATATTCTTAAACCTTGGCCCAATTTTCCATCATTTAAGGTCCAAATGATTTAGAGTAAAAAAAAAATGGTGCATTTGTCTCTGACTCTGACAGATCGGGATTTTTAACTGGGTGTCCACAGATACTAACCTTTGCCTTACTTGTAAGAGAAGTCCCACACAAACCTAGTAGGAGGTCATTTGTTGCAGGAAGACAACTGTTAAAATGCGGGTGAAAGTCAAACAGCTCTCAAAGCCCTCCTTCACACTACATGTATTTATTGTGAGACTCTTGGAGGACTATTTCCAGCCCAGCACTGAGACAACCCCGTGTCTAAAGCTTGGTAATAGGACAGATCTTCTGCCTGTTCCTCCACATAGCTTTTGTGAATGATGTATTCACTCCTTCAGGCAAGAGGACGTAATGGGCAATTACAGGTATGCCGAGTGTGAAATGACAAAAACATCCCTGTTTGCACAATGAGGATAAAAAGTGCAGAACACTAGGCTGAGTTTTGTTTTTTCAGCACCTGATGAATATTTCTCGCATAAAACCTGCACATTAGAGCTCGTCAAGGAAACCCTGACTGGTATCACTTATCACATTTCAAATGTCTATGCTTTGATTGTGTTATCGTAAACCCTCTCATCCGTAGGCCATCGCTGTGTATGTTGGTATGTGGTATGTATTGTAATAAGCTTGAATGTCTAGAGAATGGAACAGCTCTGGAATCTGGCTGCTACAGTAATAGATGCTACATTTATAGATGTACAATTCAAGTAATGTGCATTACATGTCTTTGACAAGAGTGAAATGTAACCTCCATTCAGTCTTTTCACCTGAAAAAATTTCAGTTTAAACATAAAATGCGCACCTTAAGAAGAGTGTCATTGAAAGCAGCAATGTTGTTCTATAAAAAACACAAAAAAAAAGACGCATAAATCAAGGCCAGTCATAAAAACCAGCTGACTGCAGGTTCCCATGGCTTTTAGTTACTATGGTGATTTAACCAATTTACAGCAGAATCCGTTTAAGGAAATTCTTAACTGACAAATTATATTTGCTGCTCCACCTGTCGTTTTTAATTCAAAGTTCTATTAGTTTGAGAACTGAAGATGAGTAAAACTGTCCCTGTGAAACATTAAAGCAGTTTGATGGATTGCTCTACCTCTGGACTGGACATTTTCAGGTTTAAAAACATCAATCATTTAGACCCTAAAGTAAAGAAAACAAGGCCAAATTCTACCTTTAAAGCCATAATATAAACATATATTTTCACATTCTCCAGCTCTATTTACTCTTTCCCATGACATACAGTTAATTATGACCTTCTATGATATATGACAATGTACAAACTTGCATAGATAAAGTGATATAGAGCAGCTTAGTGTTTCTGAGCCCAAAAACTTAACATTCTTTTATATGTACTCTTTAGGCTTTTTGACGTCCCTGCAAGGAATAGCTGCTTGTTGTTGGGAGGTCTAAATACACACAAAAACAAAACATCCACAACACTCTGACCACTCACGTATGCAAGTTTGCAGACATTTGTTAAAAGTCTCAAAAAGTGGAAGATGTGATCTGAGTTCCACTTAGAATATTCATGATGGTGGTTGGACTGATCCTGAACAACTCTACGGTTCAAGATCAGAAAAGTGATCTGAAAATACAGGCCATGGGCCATAAAGAGTATTATTTTACAACCTTAATTTTCTTTTCTTTTTTTTTTTCTTTTGAACCATGGCTATAAACAGTGTGGCATATGGACGACATCATTGTTAGATAAAGGGCTTCACTGACTGTCTGCAATGCTTGTTTAAGCATGTTTAAAAGTCCCTTTAAACATGCTTTCCCTGCATTTATTTGGATTTGATGCTTTACTCTTTCAATGCACAAGGGAAAATGCCTGATTTTGGTGAGTCTGTGATTAAGGCTATTCATTGCTATTTGGCTATTCCATATATACCACCTCGGGACTGAGAATTACAGGAGTGACATCTCTTTTTAATTAAATATTAAAATGTTTCCACAACATGCGGATACAAGGTCCTTTGATAAACTTGAAATTGCTCTAAACTTAAAGGGTATTGCCACTCTATCAATGAAAAACATGCATGTGAATAATTCAGTTCATAATGCCTGGAGGTGACTCAAATACAATTCAACAGAGAAAATATTGATGACAAAAAAAAAAGTGGGAAAAAAAGTGGGCATAGAATGTTAATGAGACCAGTCGCTGTTGTCGTTGTGTGACGAAAATAAATTGATTTCAGTGGCAATCCCCTTTAATATGTCTGCCTAACAGTTGGAAAAACACTATAAAGTACAACACAAAGACATGACTCTGAGCACTGTTCTATTAAAAGCGCAAGATTATAAAACATTGACATCATCAAGAGGACATGCTGTACATTGACTCGAGAGCGGCACCGGCCTCTCGTCTCCGCCACAGTCGCAGTCATGACCAAGAAATCACGTCCTGTGTGCACGTAGAGTGAACACCAAACATGCTTGGTGCGACTCTCTGCTGCTGACTGAATCTGCAGAGCTACACTGAGTGGAGGTGGTGGAGGAAAAAAGCTTTTGACAGAACTAAACACGGCAAAGTAAGAGGTCTTCCTTAGGCGGCTCCTGCCTGACAGCGTCCACACAAGAGAAAAGCGTTTCTCTTTTTCATGACTCTCCCTTCCCTCCGCAAAAAAAACCCGTCATCGCAGTGACCCAGCGGGCCGTCAGCGAGGGGAACATCCTTCTCACATCCAAACAACCAACGTCTTACTGGCGAACACATAGTAGGCCTTTGATCAATCCGACTTCTGCTTCCCTTCAATCCTGCCCCTGTCTTTAGAGGAACGTCTCAAGGGTTCTTTTTTTCCTCTGTTTTCCTTCTTTTTTAAACCCTCCTCATGCAGAGCGATGGATCCCGAAGTGGCCAGGGCGGATGCAAGCCCAGCCCAAAAAAATGAAGCTCTCTCTCAAAGCCGGCAGGGAGGACAAGAATGGAAAGGGGTGAAAAAGGGACAAAAGAACATGGCCCATCCTTGAAATGGCTCAGCGTGTAGAACTCTTGTGGCGTTTAGGTTGGCAGTGGGTCGTCGTCGCCTTTGCTGCACTTGCACTTGCAGCAGAGGACGATGGGAGTTGCCAAAAGGAGGAATGGAGAGGCAACTAGAAGGAGTAGGCCGAAGCCGGCGAAGATCCCCACTACCTGTGTTAACACATAAAAAGACGACAAACAATTCATTACAATTCAACACAAGCTGTTGGGGAATGGGTAATATAACGTGTGTATATATACCGTTAAAGCAGATTACCTTCTAAATATGGACTAATAATTCACACCTGTTTACTGCTGTAATAGCATGAAGTGACCACTATGTGTCGGCCAAGAACCCAGGACAAGACTTTTCTCGAAGTAAGTCCATTAAGGAAAACACCTTAATAGGGTTAGTGTTTGCTTGAACTGACAGGAAAGTCGGTTGTGTGCCTGTACCAGTATTTTGCTTGTCGTACATTTGTTTATTAAATGTGACTCATGTTGTGATTTAGTGAGTGATTGAAGGATATAAACATTTAATGTACACTTCTTGAAAGTGTAATTCTCCCAATTCACCACATGGGGGAGCCAGACACCAGTGGATGCAAAGCCAACGAAATGGACTACATAGCTCTCAGTCACATGCAACACTGATTTGTAATTAAGCCATATTTATATTTTTTTGGATCACTTTCCATCAAGCTTGTGTTTGTCATAAAATAACAAAAAACAGACAGCTTTATTCCCCCTGCCGTTTATTTTTCACTGTGCTTTAGAGGTAGAGAGCGTGAAGCCACAGTTATGTCTCATTAACGGATCTCGATGATGCTTTCCTGTTTAGGATATGACGTTTCTTCTCCTGGAAGCAAACAAAAACTACCGTCGGACACAGATGGGGATAAAAAGGCCGCTTTCCGGGGCATGTTTTCTATCCGCGAGGGACTTTGATTGATATGAAGCCGCAAGATGAAAAGAGGGTGAACTAAGGAGAGCGATGGACAGACAAAGACCCACAGAGAAATTAAACTAAAGCTGGCCTCTCCGGGCTGAAATCCAATCATATGACTCAGCCTGCCCCGATGGGCAACAATGTGTACGTTGGGCAAAAATGACGAGCCAGCCATGAATAGCATATCTGTGCAGATCATTGTCACCTGAATGGTAGTCAGTGACATTTAAATATGAAATCACAAGATAGAAATTATGTGTCATTTAATAGTTATTTAGGCTGGTTTTGTTGGCTAAGAGTAAAGAGCATCTCTCTCTAACAGCAGGACACTTGGCACTTGCTGCTGCACATGGACCAGACTGTGCTTTTCTTATTGTGCTGTCAAGATAACAAGCCCATGTGCCATGACTATTGGGGCCACAGAAGAAAAAGGGAGGACGTTCAGTCAGGGAGCACATGCGTGTTTACATGCTGCGGCGTGAAAGCAAGAGCGAGGGGAGTGTCACATGTGCTGTGGGAGGAGGGTGTTCTCACCTGTGTTCTGTGCCAGATAACGGACGCCCTGGAGTGGCCCAGTTTGTTTCGACAGGGCCCTTTGTCGTAGTGGATCAGCAGAAAGTCATCCTGGCAAATTAAGCACACGTGTACAGAGGGTGGCTGAGCACAGGCAGGCTGAAAGGTGGCCGTTTTTACACAATCACTTTTAAACGAATGGTGTGGTCCGGTCGTCTCCGCTCCCACAACTGAGATTACATAAGGCACCGCACCTCATAAATCGCTCTTATCCAATCTCAATTGGTGCTTTCCAAAAAGTATTACATTCCTTCCTTATTAGCTTCAAAGGTTAAACTACTATTTCCTGATAAGAAAAGGTTGTACTGTTGTCACAGGGAGATAAATGACATCTACATGCAAAGCAATCAAAACGTATTACACACTCACAATATCTAACTGGATTTCTCTTTTTTTTTCCAGAATTGTTTCACTGAATTTAAAATGAGAACAGATATGCAACTCACATCCAAGGACTCCAAACAGTACCAGCAGAAGGCATGTTTACAGTTCTTGCACATCATCTGTGCACAGCCCTCATCCCTCTCGATGTAAACTTTACACTTTGGACAGCGCTTGATGGGTGCGTCATCCTCTTCGTTCTTATAGAAAGAGCTGCGGAAAAAGTACGACAGGAGGTGGGCGTTTGTTTTCAGCTAGAAAATGGCATTGTTTCAAACATTCAGTGCTCATGCATTTGCGAAAAAACAAAAAGGAATGCACAAATATTTAGTCCAATGGATAATAATTAACCAAAGAAAAAAAAAATATTGGACTCATTAAAGGCTGTAAGCTTAAGCCAGGCTTTTTTTCTTCCATGTTACATTTCTACAGCCTCTGTAATGTGCTGCTGAACTGGTATTTATTATGCTTAGTTCTGCATTAATTGAGGGAATAAACAAACACCTTTGGCACTTCCATAATCTGGGAGGTGATTCTGTAAGCAAAACTTTTTAAGTGAGTCTCATCAACATCAACTCTGTTTGATCAGTTTTGTGGCGGTGAGGAGGCTAAGAATTCCTTCATCCGCCATCCTCAAAGCTCCCATGAAGAATCTGCTTTGCAAAAAGAACTCTATGAGACATCCTGACAACAGATGTAGCTCAGTCACAGAAACTAATTTAAATCCTGTAAAGGCTTCCCCCAGTGTGACCTCTGACCTCGGTCCTGTTCATGTCCAGGTGAAGGAAAGCTTGCAGAGCTAATGACATTTCCGCAGTAAGAAGATGTTACAAAGAAATGGGTCAGCTGTGCACTTAGCTGGGCAACCCTTCCTCAAAGAGAGATGGTGTATCCTTAAAATGAACCCTAAAGCCATCACAGCCGGCTTGACTTCTGCTCAGACTCAGCAGATTTGTTTCATTAATTTGTGCTTGAGCCTTGGTGAACGTTCTGCAGTGCAGTGCAATGAATCCTGTGGTTCTCATCACTTGTCAGGTGCGTTGAGCACAACGGTGGAGGTCTGCCTACAGTTTCAAGGCAGATGAGGTTGATGCTCTCACAACATGGCATAGAGGAGCAAAATATTGTTTTTTTCAAGAGCTAGAAAATTTCCAGCTAATTATTATTGTTGCAAAATGACTTTATTCTTTTAGTTGGTGATAAAACTACTTAATAAAAGTGAACTTCAATACTTTGCAGTTAATTATTCAGTTCAGCAATTGATCATCTGAGAAGATGTTTCCCCCAAATGCCAAAATAAAGACATTATTCTGTTGTGATGGAGGATAAACACTAAAAGTTACAAGGAGTACCTGTTTTCTCCTGGTAGGAAGGAGGTGATGGGCAGGTTGTTCTCTTGACAAGCCTGCCCCGGGTGCCAGTTGGCCTTACAAGCTGAGCAGAACTCGAGGGCACACACAGCACACTGGACCAACTGGGGAAGAGCTGGAGAGTCCGTTTCCTTAAGCTGGCATACTGCCTGGCATGTGGAAGAGGGGCACCACGTCCGGCAGGGGTCCAGCAGCACCTCTGATAAAGAAGGAATACACGTCAGGTCAGTGCAGGCACAATCGCAGGCAAAAAAAAAAAACTGAGAAAAAACTGATTCTTTTGACATTTTAAATATCTGATGCCAACAAATCTGCAGTACCATTTGGGTGATTATGTGGATGAGTTTTCTGCGCAGTGAAGAAACTATGGAAAAAACTTTCAGGGATCATATTTGTATCTGCATATGCCGTCAGATTTCTTTTATAGAACTGCTTAATGTTGCTCAGCGAAAATAGAATTTCTATGGTCTCTTGTGCCAGTTTAAAGTACATGGTGTGATGCCTTTTTATCCTGTCCTTCCTTTCTATTGCCTCTCTGCCAAGAACAACAAATACACACTCCACATGCACTCTTGGCTCAGTCTGGGAAATATGGACTGGTTACAGCCACTGTTCTGCCTGACTGGACTGGGACATCGATGAGACGGCTGATTGCACTAATCCAGACAGAATCTGGAGCTCTTGTTACTCCCCTCACAGGAGCCCCTCTCCCAGTTTTAGAGTTTCTCTTTTCATTTATATGCACGTTGAATCGTTTCTATATCTACATGAGACGTTTTTTATGTGTACAAGCTGCGTCTTTATGTAGGTGGAGAACTTGCACGAGGATCTCACAGCTTGAGTCCTATCATCTCTGTCAGTGCCGTAGCCCTCTAACATTACCGAGTATCAACTCTACGCTGACATCAGGGAGCAAAGCAAAACAGACTTGCGGCTGCCTTTCCAGCCCAGATGTTCAAAGTTTACTTTTTCCACACAGCGGAAACAGCAGGCGGCAAGGAAAGACAAAACGAAAAACGAAAAAAAAAAAAAACGAAAAGAAAAACAAGGATTTAACTCTTTACTGAAGCTAAAGAATTCCCTTGTTGAATATCTAATGAGCCATTCAGAAGAAGCATCCTCCAAATTCCTGTCCTCCTCCATGAACCATAACAGCCATTTCATAGTTCTAGGTGGTCTTCCTAACCCAAAAGAAAAACCTCCCACAGAGGGTAAGTGCCTCCTCACAGAGTATTCGGTAGAGTACCTACATGTGCACCATGCGACTGATATGATCCTTTTATGTGTCACAGAGACATGCAGCATCTCTGGAGGACAGATGGGTCCATGTGTGGATGCAACTGACAGTCATGGGCCACCAATCCCCCTCCCTGGAACTCAGGAGCTATTACTGACGCACTACGGCTGCTTTTACACTGACTCACCCCTTTCGAACTGAAGCTTCTTGTACCTCTGCATCATCTCTGTGGCCACCATGCACTCAATCTGTAGAGAGAGAGAGAGAGAGAGAGAGGAGAAGTGGGAGTTAAATAAGCAGGTCGTTGTGCTTATTTATAGACAAAAGCTGCAGGGAGAAATTTTGTCTACACAAAATAAAACTTTAACTTTATGAAATCGGACTTTCTACAAGATCCTCCTGCTGCTTCCTTAACCAGAAGGCACTTACTTTCATTCTCATACACAACGCAGTGAAAGTAAATATACATGCCGACTCAGGGTTATTCGTGTAATGGTCAATATCAGGAACAATGAGCCCTGTAAAAGCGAGTTGATTACAAGCCAAAGGCATCACAGACAGAATAGAAAGAAATGAGTCTGGCTTTGCCTGACAGTCAGGAGGAGCTAGCCATTAATTGCCAGGGATACTAATTGATTGGAAACATAATGCTGTGGTGAGCAGAATGCTGTGCCTCTGAGCCACTGAGATCAAATTAAAATGTGTGAGCTCATCAGCCAAACTGCCTGAGGGATGAGGAAAAGGAGCGGCAGACTGATTTCCGATTTAAAGACAGACAAGGAGCTCATTAGAGGGGAAATGAACACAGGTGGACGGCAGCGCACAGCTTGAGTATAAGGCGGGGTTATTTACGCTGACGTAACAGGATGGAGGAACATCGGTTACACTAACATGCAGGTGTCGATACGTAAGGAGCAGGAAAGCAGCATGAAAACATTTCTGTGGGTGCAGAGTAAAGAAATATAAACAGAAAAAAAGAATGGAAAGAAAAACAACCAAGAATTTACATCAGGCACTTTTTTAAATCACCTATTTAAAAGAGCAATATCTTCTTTTTTTGCTTCATAAATTTCTTCAATAGTTTTTAAGGCTCCAAACAGTCTGATATTGTTTATATTCAACAAGAACATCTTCATACTCAATCTAAGAGTCAATTGAACGAAGAGCTGAAATAACTGAACCCATTTAACGCAATCAGTAGCTGATTTCAATTTGTGAAACAATTTTATTGGTTAAATTAAACTCAACAACATCATACTTTTTAAAGACCACCTCATCTTATTGGCACTTGATTGGCACAATCCATCTGTTATCATTTTATTTCTTAGGGTTCATTTTAGTTGGTCTGCACTTTATTAGAACTATTCTTTATTTAAGAGGTGTTATATACATGCAAGTGATCATCCCGATAAAGATGCCGCTGCTCGCAGTTCACATCTGCAGACGTTGGCAAAACCAAATGGAAAATGTTGTGTTTTGTTTTCAGCTCAGAGAAACTATGATACCACGGGCATCTGATCTCGATAAGCCTGATAAGAAGCATTTGAGACTGTATCAGCATAACAGAGAGAGACCCGTTTGAGAAATGGCAATGGTGAATCTCTTTGCTTCTTCCTTCAGACTGTGGTTTCCTTTGCATCTGCTGCTTTTTAAAAACCCCGTGAAGATTAGGAACATTTGTCTGCTGATGTGCGAAAAAAAAAAGAACAGCACATTTTTGTCTGATGCGGCACTGAACAGAAAGTCTGCTGCATCTGAATATGTTAATGTTTCAATCTCCAGAACAACTGTACAAATATGTGCCTGCTTTCATTTTTGTACAGAATATAATCCCTCCCCTTCAGTGTCAAATTTTATCTCCAGAAACTTAAAATAGTTCAACAGCAAAACAAGCTTCAATAGTTTTGACTTTTCTGTAATGACATAAAATTACTGTAAAATAAGTCCATACAAATATATTTATGTGCCAAGTGAAGTAGTGAATTTCCTGTTCATAGAACCCCTGCCCTTAATTAGATGTAAAGCCTCAGTTTAATGCAGGAGAACGACTGTTGTGTCTCACATTCCTTTCCGAGTAAAAAGCTAACTTCTCCTTTAAGCCGTACCTCATTTTCCTGAAGGTGTCCTCTTTTGGGGCAGGCAGAGTCTGGACAACTAATTGCAGTTTCAAGGCCTTCTTTTATCAGGAGCTCCACGTACTGCTTCAGGCACTGAGGAGGAATGGACAAGTACAACAATGATTTCCACCACTGACTATTCAGTCAGCTAAAAAAAGGAAGAAAGAGGGGGAAAACAGATAATGAATGCCTGCAAACAAGCACTGGTCTGTGTATCACAGTGTGTGCGGACACCATTTGTTTAAAAGCTGAAGACGTATCAGTATGTATGACATTCATTGAGGGAGGGTTTGCTGATGGTGACAAACCATCTTTCAGCCCATTGTTCTGGTCTTTATAGTTCGAGGTCAGTACCATCATTCTCTTCATACACCCGCCTTTAGAAAGCATTCCAGTGGACAACAAAGTGGAAGATAACTTCTAATATCTGTTTTTCTTCAACCAGAGCAAATAAATATCAAACATCAAATGGGAGAGCGAAACATAGCTTTGACTTATTGTGTTTACACTTGGTTGTCCTCAGCAGTAAACTGTGTTAACTGAGCTTTGGTAACTACTGCCGCCACCCTGACTGAGTTCGAGGAAGTGGAGGCTATTTATAGAGGTCATTCTTGGGCATTTGTTTTCTTCTCTTCCAGAGCAGGCTGGTTACGCTCTGATATCCGATGGCTGCTACATTTGTCCGCTTCTGCTCATGCACAGCGGTAACAAGAAATTGACACGAAAAACCTGAATAGCTCAATCATTTCACTGCCGTCACATTGCTCTGTGGTTTTTCTGCTATCTCCAATCTCAAATATGCACATCTCCTCTGCACTGTGGAAGTCTTCTGTTCCAGATTGAAAGGTTTTACGGGATCCTTTGTGGATGCTTTATCTGCATCTGCAGATGTGTGAAACTCACCAGTGTACAGAAGACACATTGGCACTGTGTGATGGTGGTCATCTGCTCCAGGGGGAACTCTCCAAGGCACAGCTTACACGAGACCAGGGGGTCCACGGCCAGCTCCCACGTGGGGCGGTATCGCGCCGTGGTCATTTTCACCGCCACGGAGCTGAGAAGTCAATGGGGAAAATCTACAGTTAGTTCGCGTTTTCTAATGAGAAAAAAGTAAGATAGTGTCAAATTACATAGGCTATCCAGAGTATAAGGTGTGCTCTCTTTGCTGTGATGCTATCCGCCCGATCGTGCGAGCACAGCCTGGAAGAGCGGTGTCAGAGCTGTCTGCTCAGGGGACGCACACACACAAAAACAGGCCTGCGTGTGCAGGCTTTTGAGCATAAATGGCCAATGTCAGCTGCGTTCATCTTTGCTGCAGCCTCATACTTTGTAGCATTAAAGAAGACACAGCCTGAAAGCTACTGAAATCCTATGGCTATCTACGTCAGCTATCTCAGCTCCGGAGCAGCCCCCCCAGCCCCCCCCCCCTTCCCTCGCTGCATGTCTCATTCCATTTTGTGCGAGCCAGAATGGGTTATTTTAGGCCGTCTTTTAGGCCGGAAGTGCTTCGGTGCGCACATCGTCAACACTGTCAAGCTCTCTCCGTGCTGCTAGGCAACCGGCCGCAGGAGGATTTTGCAGGTGGAGGGGGCATGGATAGGAGGGAACATGGCAGAGGGAAAAGAGACGAGGAGCAATTGCAGTTTGCTGTCCCTGGTAACAGTATGCTTGTTCAGAGAAAGGGACACCAAGCGGGAGGGTTCAAAAGTTCACCTAATCGCTGGACTCGTGCAATCTGCATGTGCTTCAAAGTGAGCTGAATGGAGAAAACAAGAGACAGCGAGTTTGCATTCAGCAGAGGCATCACCTCAAATTACACAGCTTTTCAGCTCATTTGAGAAGTAAAAAATTCCCATCTAACACGGGGGGATAAAATGAAAAGGACACAAATATTCATCTTTAAAAATGTTCCCAACACACTTCCTGAAGGGGGTTATGAGTGACTTTGTGTGCAGATTTTAATAAAGAAAAACAACATTTTAAGTCTTAAGCCTTCACTGCACCCACATATGAAAGTCTTCTAAAGATTGAATGGGCTAAACCTTGTTTTTCAGATATATTAGATTTCCTCAATTCATCGTGTTTTCCTGCTTGTCATCACATCGCATTAGGAGGACTGAAGCTGACACTGTAAAGAGAGGAAAAACTGAGAGTGAGAAAAATGAGACGCACTTCATGTCTGACTCTCTTAAGAGGCCTTTGGTGTATTTATCCCTTTGCCCTCTACAGTCCTGACCAAAAAGCAGCGAGGAAGCGCCATTGTGTGGGTGCTAAATTGTACACAAAAGCTTAAATGGCAATTTGTTATCAGGATGGAGCCAAGGACTAATAAACACGACCCTCTGGGGACTGGGTGGGAAGATGTTTGCTCCTTACAGCACAAAGTAAAAAACTTTGAGGACAAACAGATTACTTTCATCTTAAGTGCAAATGGAGAGGATGGATTATTCATGTTTCAAATGACTGTCAGCAGGCTTAACAATGGAGAGGTATTTAAAACTCAATGAGTCAGAAAAACAATCTGTTTCACAATCAAAGCTGGCAAAGCAAAAAAAAAAGTTCCCCATAAAAAGTGGCATTAACTTCCACTTTCAATTAACTTATAGCACTGTCATCCAACAACTCCAACTCTGCCATCACAATTATTACATTAACGACAGAGAACAGAAGTTCTGCACAGATTGTGAACATACTCATGAGAAAAATGAACCATATCAGAGTGATGGCAGGTGGACAAGGGACCACTGTAGCTAATTATGGGGACCGTAAGGGAATCTAAGAAAGGCAAGCTTTAAGGTGAATAAGTTTTTAAGTCCTAAGCAGTGAAAACGTCCTTAAGAGTGCATTAAAGGAGTAAACATCAAGACAACAAGTGACCGAGGTTTAGTCAAAATATGTCCCATCTGCAGCACAGCATTTGGTCGATCGTTTTAGCTTTGTTTCAAATAACTTCTCATAGCCTGTAGTCATGTATTAAAAAATAGACAAACACCAGTCACCAAAAGAAAAAAGGGTGTAAAGCCGCTGCTCAGACAGCAACCTGGGAAAATACAGGAAGAAAGAGAGCGTGATTGAAAGCTGATGGTCATTAAACAGCCTGGGGCACCAGAGCGGGCGCTCAATAGTTACAAAGGAGATCCCGATCAGATGACTCCAACCTGTCCAGCTGACAAACCGAAATGCACCAATGTCACTGAAACTGCGCTAATCAATCTGCTTTGGAGGCTATTCGCATACACTTCTCATTTTGTTGTCTTTAGGAATAGCGGAGAGACAGCAAGTCTAAATAAATGGTTTTGTAAAGATGGCCTCCGGTCAGAGATGCAGTGCAGTGCGATTTCTCTGCTGCATTATTAACTGGATGGTCCATTATCACTGAGAAAAAACCCTCCCTCACACATACATTGAGCAGTAGCAGCATCTGAACAACAGAGCCATTTGTGCACTCTGCCTCCTCATTTCAAACCCGTCCTTCCAGAGTACCATGTGTCTCTGAGCAGGTCAAGAATTAAAATTCAATGAAGTGGGAGTCACAAGTCCAACAGCCATCCTAAGTGGTGGTCACCATGTGTCAGTTATCATTCTGAAAGGGCTCCGCTCATAGATTAACTGCCTTCGGCATCGCTCACGCGCCACTGACTCCGTGGCACACAAAACACACACATGCATTCACGAGCATTGCATAACTGTTGGAAATGTTCATGTTGGACTGGCGAACGTCCTCAGGGAGCAATATACAAATGGGATTTCTTACTATACCATAGGCCTTTTTTTCTTTTTCAAAACTAAATAAAAATGAAGACATTCATTATTAGCACGAATGTTAAACAAGTGCTTTTCTTCAGTTCCAGTGGCTTTCTCAGATGACTTAAGTGTTTACCTTCATATTCAGCTGACTCTCAGAAGGAAATTCTTAGTCAAATATAAGAGATGAATTCTGTTTTATGTAGAACGAAGACAAATGTTTTCTTAGTTCAATTTTCCTTCAACAGATTCTGCCTATCTTATCAGTGATGAGGAGGTTGGTACCCAGCCTGTCACGACACCATGCTCTGTCAATGCTTAAAATAATATTTACCGATTATTAATATCAACACCAACAAAATAATAGCTTGCTGTGCAGGAAGAAAAGAAGCAATGAAAAAACACACCTGAAAGTCAAAGCTAACCACTAACAAGCTCATTGAAATGTGAAAGATTCATCCATACTGAAAACGTTAGGTTTTTGTTATTACTTTTAAGACCTTTCTTCTGGTGCTGTATATTGTACTAGTTCCAAATAACTGTCAACCAAATAGCCTCCCGAAAAAATGAAAGTAACAGAATATTTTCTCGTTCTACACAAATGAAGGAGGGAGCCACACATCATTGGAGGCCCTCCATTCATTAGGAGCTAAGCTAACAAATATCAGTGCAGCAGAGTGCATTCTCCACAGTGGGATTATCTGCATACTGGAGAGCAAACACAAGGAGGTAAATGACAATCTATTTGCTCTCTGTTTTCACCCAGGCTGACAGTTTCTAGTGTGTGTAATTATATAATGTCACATCACAGTATTGCGTAAGGCTCTATTTATACACCTCACCTAGAGTGGATGTGGAAGAACGCTGCAAATAACTGCTGGCTATTGTGAAAGCGGGGGCGTTTTTTCACACCTCGATACCTTTTCAATGCACAGTTGATGTTCCTCGGCTGAGTTAAGAGAAGGTTTGCTGTTAAGCTTTTCGATGAATAAGTCAAAGAGTGATTAAGAATCACGGCAACAATGTGTTTGGCAAGAGATGGAGAAAAGGATACACCGTGGTGATGATAGAACAGGACTTGTTCACCTGTCATCATTTACAGGAACAGAGAGCAAGGCATGCTATGACATTAGCTGATGCAATCCACCTTTGTTCTGGCTGGCAGCATCAGCGAAACCCGATCTAGTCTCTTGGTTGTTCCTGTCATCTAGCGGGAGTTCTTCTTCTAAAAGTATTTTGCTGAAATTTAGAAAGGTCCCAAAGCGTGAGATTGAATGCTCATTGGTATCCATGCACATTTAAACAGATGACACGATGGTGCAGAGAATAGCAAGGTTACAGTGGTTATGTAAAGGAAAATTAAAGCCAGCCCGCCCTATCTCCTCACTGAGGGCGCTCTAGGGGTCCATAACAAGCGCTTCGTGACCACGGTGTCTGCTTCTCCCAGTTCCTTCCTGCATTTTTTCCCCTCTGAAGCCCAGCCCTGCTCTTCACGGCCAATTAGGTCGGCCGTTAAGTTTCATCTATGTCACATCCTCTCTGTGCAGCAAAGAGGATATGACCAGGAAAAAATCTGAAAACAGGAAAGAAACAAAGAGGGCATCAGCCAGTTTTCCCAGTTTTGCCACAGTCCCTGGACGCACATTTACTGCCTGGTTTTCCAGTTGTGTGACAACTTTCGAAATGTGCCTGACCTGGCAATATATAAATAAATAAACTAATCAAAAGGGTGTAACACAAGGGTGTAACCAGCTGTTTCCAGTTTGAGATGGTATTCAACAGTTTTATGACCAATCAGTGTCTATTCAGTTTTCAAAAGATAATCTCCAGGAATAAACCCTTACCAGCACCACACCACACAATGATACTCACTTATAGCTCCTATACAAAGCATCTGTTCTTGATCTAGATCCTCCCTGCTAAATATTTATTCCAGCAAATGAATTTTTCTTCGAAAACTGTGCCTATTGCCCGTTTTCGGGTCACAGGCTTGAGCATAAAGGCAATAGAGATGAAATAACTACTCTTTTCATAAGAGCAATGATTTACCTAACACCCACCCTCATATATATACTGGTTTTGTCCCTGTGGGGGATCTCTGTACACATTAGTAAAGCCGAATTTGCCTCACAGTCGCTGACTTAAGTATTTAAGGTTTTGTCAGGTAACGTTTTAGTTCAAGAATCAGGATTTTATCTGTTCATGTATAAGTGAATCAAAGTCCAGTTAAATTACACGGGTGAGTAAGAGTTTTGGTAGGATGAACACAGTAATTAATTATCTAAGCATGCTTACAGGCATACCGGCAGCTGC